ATTGGGATGAGCCCAACACCAAGTCGTGGTAATTGATGGCATTAAACACTAATTGCCTGCTCCTAATTGGATCAAACTCAATTAAAAAAAAAAAAAAAACAAAAAACGGTGGGGGACGACCTGGCTCCCCCTCACACCATCCCTTGTGCTGTTTTTGCACATTCCTCAGCACAGATTTATACGATTTGCTGCGGGAAAGGTTGTCATATTTCAAGAGTGGGGGGAGGAAGAGGAGGATGAGGATGTAGGGGGGGGAGGCAGCGAAACGCCATGTCAGCACATATTGTAATTTCGTTTTGATAAGGCCACGCCAAGAGGCCCGCTCCGACCGACTCGGCAGCCATCATTAGCCGTCTAATGTTAGCACGGCTAAAGCGGAACAGCATCAGCAAAGGAGCCCAGGTGCGCCGCTGATAACGTGCGCCGGGAACTCAACACGCCACACTTCCTGCTTTGTTGGCCGATGCAAATGACGCTCTGAAATGCGTGCGCGCGTCGTCATGTGACGGGGTCGGGCCTCGTCAGCGTGTCGGCGGCGTTTCATTAGCGCTCGCTTCGTCTGCCGGATGAAAAGCGAGTGACTTGATGGTCATTAGTGGAGTGACAAACAGTGAGGAAGAGGAGGAAGATTGCGCATCATCAGCGAAACTCAACTGGGTCAATGCGGTTGGGGAAAATTACCCAGCATGCATCATCATTTACTTGAGGCTCTTCCGCACGTCTGTCAGATGCACTTCCTGTTGACCACCTTCTTGGGTTTGTGATATTTTTTCTTTTGTTTTCCTTTTGCTCATTCACATCAATTATTTTTTATTCGCACATCAAATGTGTTTTTTTATATCAATTTTTTTTCATTTTATGCTTCATTTTTTATTCACATTCATTTTTTTCTTTTCTTTTCTCATCAGTACGGCACTAATACTTGTTCCGTGCAGAGGATAGAGAACATGATTGTGCTGATGTTTTTATTGTCTGGAAGTTTACCATTTGTGGCCTGGGGGCGGGGGGGGGGGTGCTACAACAACCACACATGGTTGGAATGAGGGGAATGGTTGACAGGCTGTGCTACAAAAGTCATCACTGACTTCCTGCAGTTTTTACTTTTTTGTCAGGTTAAAAAAAATCCCAAAGTGATGACAAAAATAACAATCAGCACAAATCCTCACAACTTCAAATGTGTACTGTTGTAATCTTTGTCTCAAATATCTAAAGTATAAAGACTATGTAGATAGTTTAAACATGCAGGTACCTGTGATGTTTCTTGCTTGCAATATCATCAATGATGAGACAAGAAACGACATCGTGGACAGCGACTCTTCCATCCAGCTTGTCTCTTGTCAACTGCCTGTCATCTCAGACCTTCACCAACAGAGGTTGCTAACATACTGCGGAACAGCCGTGAAACGCCGGTGAAATCGCATTGAACTGGATGCAAACATTCAATCGCCATCCACCCTGGAAAATTCCTGGAGGGGGGGCGGTGGGGGCTGCAAACCCTACTTCCTGATTTTTCTCTTTTACTGTGTAAGGAAAACATGACCAAACATAGCAAATCGAATCAAAAGTCAACAAAACCATAAATCGTGATGAGACTGGACTGGTTGCTGGTCAATGTCGGCTAGCAAGTGGAGCTCAACTTAATAACTGACTGGTCACTGCTTGCAGTGGTGAAAATAGGAAGCGGTCTTTTTATGCTACAGAGCAATGAGTGCCAAGTGGACTTCGAGTTAGGGTTTTCCATCAGAACATGGATGATTTTGAAAATTGTAGTCCAAGTTCACATTAAAACTATTTATTGATGTGTTTTACATCACAACAATTGTCATGTAGATGCTTGTTGGAACCGGTTTGAGAAGATTCCAATTGTCCTGGTGGGCATGCTCTTCCTGCTTGTGTGTGTGTGTGTGTGTGTGTGTGTGTGTGTGTGTGTGTGTGCGCGCGCGTGTGTGTGTGGGTGAGCCAATCAGGATGTCGCGAAATGGACGCTGCGCATGTCTTTGTGCAGCGGCTTGTACAACTCGCCTTTATTTAGTCATGCCGTCTGCTTCCATTGTGAACGGCTTGTATTCCCAGCATCTCACACACACGCGCGCGCACAAACCCAATGCAAGGACACACCTGCGATAAAGCTATCTGGATGCGCAGGCCAGCCGGTCCGGCTTTTTCTGAGTGCCGCATTGTGCCGGTACAAAGGAAAGCAATGTGTTCTCATCCCATCCATGTTTCATTCCCCCCACCCCACCCCAAAAGACACAATCAAGATGTTAATGTCCCTACACACAAAACACTCTTCTCCTACTTCTTGGATGGTGGGAGCAGAAAAGTAGAAGAATGTTGAATTGTTGTCATCTTTCTTTTGAATTTTTTACATCAGAGAGCAAATCGTGTTCATGTGAAGAAAACGTTTTTGTCAATGAATAGAGTTCCCAAATGGGGCGGAGCCAACCTACACTACAACCTAAATTCTACGATCAAGTTGTATTAATTTATTCCAGACAGCCTATTCTGTTCATTTGATCCTACTTCTTGGATGGTGGGAGCAGAAAAGTAGAAGAATGTTGAATTGTTGTCATCTTTCTTTTGAATTTTTTACATCAGAGAGCAAATCGTGTCCATGTGAAGATAACGTTTTTGGCAATATGAATAGAGTTCCCAAATGGGGCGGAGCCAACCTACACGTACAACCTAAATTCTACGATCAAGTTGTATTTATTTATTCCAGACAGCCTATTGTGTTCATTTGCTGGGTTTTCTCTCGGCTGCAGCGCTTTCAGTATGTGTTTGAGGATGTTCGATTTTTCTTTTTTTTTTTTCAACCAGACAGATTTCAGCCTTGATGTGTTGCCATGTTAATGTCATCTGGCCCACACGGCACTGTTGAGCAATGTTGCATGAGCCAATCAAATTTGCTAAAAATAACTCGAATGTTGGCTGCAACCTTCAATCGTTTCCTAACGAGGAGCAGTTTTCTGTTAGCGTAGTGCTAACACGTCATGGGAAAGGCCACAGAGAAGCGAACAAATAGCATCGGTGTGGCTGTGCTGTCACCCTTTAAGCAATGGGCGTCAGCACATGTCGAGAGACAATATGTATCAAAAAATAAATACAAAAAAATAAAAAATCAGGCATAGGAATGCATACGTTATACTCCGCAAAAAAACAACGACTGAAGTTTACGGAGTCAACTTGTGTACAGCAGAAGTAGCCACAATGAATTGGTCAGGACGCACAAAATTTTGATTGGTTGATTTATTTATTTTTTTACTTTGAATTTGATAATGTTTTTGTGACTGCGTATTTTTTTTTGTCAAGTCAAATACAAAATATTATAGAGTGCTATTTTCAAATACACATTACACATTTTTTGGGGAGGATGGAACAGATGAATGGCATTTCCATTCATTAAAAAAAACAAAAAAAAAAAACAAAAACCTGACAATGAAAGAATACAGAAAGCAGCAGGCCCTTGATGATGTCAGCATTGTTCCATCCCCTTATTGGTTGGTCAGAGCAAAACTTCATCACAACCAAATGAAAACACATCTGGAGCAACCTGCTATCTGGTGAGGATGACGTCTTTGAGACTGTTTTTCAGTCGAGAGATCGAGAGGGAGCGAGTAAGAGACTCAAATTTGGGGCGTATTTTCTTTGAGACTAATGAGCGCTTTAAATATGACGGCTGACATTTTCACAGACGGTGACACCTTGTCACTGCAAATGAAGTCCTTGCACACAACTGGGTGTGCACGCATGTTCGTGTGTGTAATCGTGTGTGTGTGCGTGTGTGTGTTTGGTGAAAACACGGCACTCACAAACAATGATTGCAAAAAAAAACCCATGTTCATTTATTTTAATGCTGCAGTAGAAAACAAGTTTATCATCATCATAACATTAAGAACAAGGTGAATGTTTTCATTGTACAAGTACAACAAAATGAAGAGAAACGAAAGGACAGCGTTTGTGTGGGTGTGTGTTCCCTTCTTCATGCTTTGTATTTTACACTTTGTATTTACATGTCACTTTGGGGGGGGGGGGCAATGCAGCGCAACCACGGTTACCGTTCATGTGCCGCCTCCCTCACCCTCAACCCCCAAGCCACAAATTTAAAGCTGCATTGCTTCCGGATGGCCGAGTCAAAGTAAATCCTTATAAATAATAAAATGACATCGAGATATTCTCCCCTATTTTTTACTACATGTAAAGTGACAAAAAGACCCTTGAACCCTTTGAGCACGGCGTTTAATTCCATACATTTTCATGAAAAAAAAAACAAAACAAAAAACAGAAACGTTTTTTTTTTCGAGGCGACCTTCTCTTTTTGTCGTCATTTGATTAAATAACACATGTATGTAAAAAAAAAGTCTTGTGCAAAACAATGCCATGAATGACTTTGTTTACTGTGCACCAGCAGTCATTATTCTTCTTTTTCTTGTCTTTAAATTAAAAAATATAAGAAGGATGTATAATTTAGACAGGAATGAATAGTTTGTGTTTTTTTTTCTTTATATATATATTTATATACATATTTTACACAGACCTGAAGAAAAGGAGGTCCCTGAACAAATACACCTTGGGCGTTTTTTTCACGCCTTTTAAAGACAGACAGAAAACAAAAAACTGTCACCTTTTCTGCATTCAACGAGTGTAAAAGTTAACATTTGAAGTGCTTTTGTGTATTCAGAGCAAGAGGGCCACACTGGAAACAACAAAAATGGTCAAATTATCAAAAATAAAATCATGGGAGTAAAACAATAAAAGATAACAAGGGGGAAAAAAATCGGAATTTTGTAGGACGAAACAAATATCCATCCATTATTTGAGCCGCGTATCCAAATAATTGTACATAAAATAAATACAATAAAAACAATACAATCAATACAATAAAGAAAGATGTACGCTTAGAGGAGCAAAAATTCATGAGAAAAAAACTTTTTTCAAATGCTTTTAGGGGACAAAACCAAATCGCTATGCTAACATGAATAGATTTCTATTTTTCTTTGACTAAAGTCGTCATTCGACAAGAAACAAAGCATGTCTTTCACAAGAATGCTCACGTTTTTATGAGTGGAAAAAAATGTAGAGATGAGAATCAAGCTGTACTTTTTATGAGAGTGAAGTCAAATTATGATGCAAAAAAAGGCAGAATTTTACTCAATTAAAGTCAAAATATCTTTTTCAAGAGTATTTGTTGTAATTTTCTTTCACGACAGCAGGCGTTTTATATTTTAAGAGGTGAAAAAAGTCTGAATATGACAAAAAATGAAATAACAAATTCATGTCAATGGAGTCAAAATATTTCAGAGAAAGTGGGAAAAAATAAATACGAAGAACTCTGCAATTTGATGAGCAGAAAGTCAAAGCCCTGCAAAGAAAAACAAAAATGACTCAGATAGCGTGGAGGCGACATCATGATTGGAAATTTCTACAAGCATGATGATGAGGACTGATTTCAAGTGGAACGCAGAAGAAGTTCCGCAAACACCAAACAAGAACTGAAGCCTGACAGTTTCATTTTGACATTTACGTCCCTTTCTCAAGTTGGCACTTCTCGTAAAAAAAAATAAAAATAAAATAAATAAAACGGCTCTTTCCTCACAACATTACAACATGTGTCGGATTATTTTCCCACTTTATTGTGTTAAGGGTTCTTTTTGTTGCCGTAATCCTCATGCGTACCTCACAGACAAAACCAGAGAAGACTGAAAAAAAACCCCAAAACCAAAAAACAAAACAAAATATTTTCTTGTTGATGCATGCAATTTTTCCTCATGTCGAAATATAAAGTAATTTCATTGACACAAAATACACAGCACCCCATTTGTAGGATTTTTTTTTTCTTTTCTTTTCTTTGAAACTTCATATTTTGCGTCTCAGGGCTCACGTTTGGAGGTTTGTTGAACGTTCTGAATTTTCCAACAAAGGGAAAATGAGACCAAAAACCTCCGCCGTCCTTTGTAGGGCAGCTTTTCACGGCTCCAGGTATGCTCACGTCGGGTAAAGTCACGTAATCCGCACTACTGCTTGTCTAGCTCACAAACGTACATGAGATGGTCCTCTGGGGACTTCCCGTGAGTCTTGCTGAGGTGCAGTTTGACGGCGTGCTTGCTGGCAAAAGTCCGATTGCACAGTTTGCACTGGTGCGCCGCCGCGCCGCCCCCCTCGTCCTCGTCGTTGTTGGGAGACGCGGCTGCCGAATCAGGGGCGGGCAAGGATGAGGGCAGGGCCACGGGAAAAGACGGCAGGGACGAGGGCAAGGGGCGGCTGGACGGATGCAAGTGGGCCAGGAGCTTGTCGGAGAGTCCTTTGTGGTGGAGGCGTTGCTGGGAGATCTGGCCCAGGAGCTGCTCCCCTGAGAGCTTGGCCAGGTCGCGCAGCCGGAAGCCGAGGTGTGCCTCCAGGTGGCTGACGTAGGTTGACGGGGAGCGGATTTGCGAGGCGCAGTCGCTGCAGAAGAACACCGGGTGGCCCGAGTCCAGGTTCTTCAGGAACTTGGTGCCGCCGGTGCGGCGCAGCTGGTACTTGACATTGGCCAGCCAGTGGGAGATGGTGGTCATGGAGAGGCCGGTGAAGCGCGAGATGTGCATCCTCTCCTGCGGGCTCAGGTCGGACATCATGTACTTTCCGTCCGTGGTTTGCTTCAGGCTGGAGGCGAACTGGGCCTGCAGGATGAGGAGGTGTTGCGGGTTCCAGTTGGACTGGCGGCCTTTGCGCTTCTGGGCGGGCGACACCTCCTCCGCTTCCTCCTGGGTGGCGCCCTCCAGTTCGGAGCGCTCTGACAAGCTGGTGGGTGTGGAGGCCTTCGAAAGGGCCTGGCTCTCTGTCAGGTTCCTCAGCATGTCAGAGATGTCAGACAGGGCGTTCTCTTTCAGGGGCGACGAGGACATGAAGGAGGCCACGGCCGCAGAGGCTTTGGTCATGGCCGTCGTTGGGGAAGGCGATGCGCTTTTGTCAGCCTGCTTGCCTTTGGTGAGATCCATAGGTTGCTCGTTGCCACTGAGGTTCGGCGGGTAGAAGTAGCGATCCAGGTGGTCGCTGCCGGACTTCTTTGCCAGGGCGGGCGGTGTGGATGCCGCCACTGCGGCCTTCTCGGCCAGGCTGTTGCTCATCTTGAAAAGCATACTCATGGGGTCCATGGAGGGCAGTGCGGGTTTGGCCGCCTTGCCCAGATGGGCGTTCATGACCGACTGCAGGGCGCTCAGTGGGTTGACGAAGGGCTGCTCCGGGGGCGGGTGGTCGGTGATGATGGCGGTGCTGCCACAGAGGGACCCGGGTTGAGGCGACACCACAGCGGACCCCAAGCCGTTCTCCGTGGGTTCCTTCACACCGCTCTCCCCCTTTGTCTCCTTGTGGTTCGGACCACTCGTCACATTCTCGGGAGTTGGACAGCCTCCCGGTTTGGCGTCCTTTGGGGAATCTCCTCTGTGGGAGTCCTCTGCCTCGCTGTGGCATGGCGACGGCGTGGTTCTCATGGGGGAAGACCTTGTCATGCCACCCGGCTCCCTCATCTTCTCCTCTACTTTTGCCACTTTCTCAGACACCTTCATGACAAGCTCCTCCATGGCGTGGAAGTTATTTTTGGACACTGGCGATGTTTGGCAGCCGGAAGGAGACGCCAGCGTCTGGTTTTTGCCAGTGGGCGACAACATCTCCGCCCCAGGGAACATGTACTTGAGTGGAGAGTTCTTGCCCGAGTTCCCGAGGGAGAGCTTCATTATGTTGGGGAGCTGGTAGGCGGCGTGGATGCTGGGGTAGCCTCCCCAGCTCGGAGCTCCATTTTGGGCTTTATTGATGGCGGAGGTCACCGTGTTCTCCAAAGACTTGAGGATGTCCAGACCTCCTTTGGGACTTGCTTCCAGATCTTCCTCAGTCAGATATGTGTACTTCGACGAGATGTCAAACTTCTCCTCGGTTTCCTCTTCAACTCCTGACATCTTGGTGGAGTTATTGTTAACAATGCATTCTTTCGTGCATTCCTCCTCCCTCTCCTCCTTTTTGATCTCCAGCGCCATGCCGTTGGGTGAGACGCTTGTAGGAGGAGGAACTGGGGCGGGTGGTGGCGAGAAGGTGGTGGCAGCCAGAGGAACCGACTGGACCTTCTCTTCTACGGTTGGCGTCGGTGCTGGGCTGGGCGTCTCTATAATGGGTTTGCCTCTCTTGATTGCCGAGTTGGTAACTTTGATAAAGTGCCCGGTCACCATCATATGGGCGGTGAGCTCCTGCAGGCTGTCATGCGAGCTGCCACACTCCATGCACTTGAGGATTTGTGACTTCCGTGACTCAAACTGCCAGGCGTAGCTGGCGCCGTTCTGGTGCCCATAACGGTTGTTGGGCGTGATGTACGGGTGGGCTGTCCTCTGGAGAAGCTCGTTGGCATCAGACAGGCAGGCCGGTTTTGGCGTTGCCCCTCCGTTAGAGTCCGGCGAGCTCGGGACGTCCAGCTCCACGGGGGCTCTCTTTCGGGCCGAGATGATCTTAGGCGCCACCGGAGTCACGGGCTCCTTCAGAGGCACTTTTTGGTAGTGTTTGGTCTTAATCATGTGCACGCTTAAATCCTGGAGGGACTCAAAGGAGTGGCCACAGTACATGCACTTAAGGACCTTCTGCGCGTCCTCCTTGCCTTCCATCTCCAACAAGGAGCGCTTTCTTGGTTTGGACCAGCGCTTGGTGCCCTCACTGTCCACCTCGTGGTTGTCGTCCCGGTAGTGTCCGGTCTCATTCATGTGAACCGTGAGCTCCACCAGGGTGTCGTACGCTGCACTGCAGTCTTTGCAGCGGAACTTGCTCGCACCGGTGAAGATAGAGCCGTAGAGTTTGGAACTCTGGCGGTAGAGCTGCACGGTGCTGAAGAGGCTCGGCTCGGCGGTTGGCGCCGGCACGGTCGCCGCAGGGTGCTGGGCCAGGGCCACTCGGTTCTGGTGGTTCTGCGAGGACTGCTGGAGGGTTTTGGCGATGGCTGTCTGGTGCCAATCGTATCCGGCGCTACCGCAGCTGCTGCTACTGCTGCTGCTACTGCTGCTACTGTGGCTACGGGGGGGCTTTTCCTGGGGTGGCTGGCTCAGGTTTAGGTTCAGGGTGGACCAGTAAGAGTTGGTCAAGAAAGAGGTGTAGATGGCCTTCATCTTCTCCAAACTGTCAGCCACGGAGCCGGAGCTGGAGAATAGGGAGCCCGAAAGCACAGCTTCATCACCGCTCCCCGGGGTGGCAGCGTTGTCCACGGCCGTCATGGCTGTGGTCGACAGTGACAAAACATTGGCTGGGTCTTTAAAAAGGAGAATGTCCTCCTCTGTTTTGAGTGGCGGACTCTCAAAGTCGGACATCCCGTCGCTGGATTCGCTCAGGTGAGACTCGCTGTCCATCTCCTGGCCCGAGAAGTCGGCGGCGGCGGGCGAGTCACGGGAGTCGGGTCCGGAGCCCGCTCCGTCATTCCCGTCCCGGCACAGGAATTTAGGAGCGGGTTCCTCTGCTTCCGGCGTGGAGTCCTCTCCGTCCGCATCCTCATCCAGCAGCGCCGCTTCCTTCTCATCTTCGGGGACGTATGCTACGAGGGAGCACAGAGCAACATTTATTACAAATGGTGTCAGTTCCATTCATCCATTTTCAATACTGCTCATCCTTGTTCAAGAGAGCTGAAGGCGATCTCAATTAACTTCAGACTTCACCCCGTACTGGTCGCCAGTCAATGAAAGGGCATAAATAGTCACTCGCCTGGGAACTGAACCCAAAACAAACTGTCACGCGAATAACTTTTTGCTTTGTCACTGACAACACCCATCTTAGATTTCGACTGTTTCCCCACTCCAAATATGTTTCATTGCTGAGCATGTGTTGTACCACAGCAAGCGGAATTTTTTTGCATGTTTCATACACACAAGGACAACAAGTCCCCCTACCCCCGCCCATCATTTTTCACACAAACTACTTCCTGTCACGCAGGCCTTGCAGACACTCTCCTTCCTCCTTCTGTCGGAATCCGGTCTTTGTTCTCCACTGAAGAGCATTAGTGGTAAAAGAAGCAGGGATAGATGGGGGGGGGGTGATCAAACATCGCTCGCCACCTTCTTCTTCTTCCTCTCAAGGGGCAACAGCTTGAAATTAAAACTAAATTTGAAATTAATGAAGCACGTTGCAGCGGCAGCGGCGGTTTCAGAAGTAATAAATTACTTGTATCAACCTCGGAGACGGCACTTCCTGTCTGTCAATTAATACGTGGGCCGCCTCTAATGCCTTCCCGAACAGACACCCTCGCCGTTTCAATTAAGCGTGCCTCCTCACTCATTACGCCGCTCAGCCCGCCTCGTAAATAAAAATGAATGTTACGTGCGACAAATCTCCGTACCGCCGCCGCGCAAAAAGCCATTTGCTTCAATTACCAGAGATTAGAAAAACTTTGGCGTTATTATTTACAGTTTAGCCGGCGGGCCAGCCAGCCAGAGACCGCGTGCGCGCTTCGGGCTTTCAATGCAGATGAAAATAGCGGCCGTTTGAGAAGAACAGCGAGGAAAAATCAAGACGAATGAAAGCACAGCGGTGAACGTGGCAATCCATCAGAGGGACAAAAGGAGACACCAGAATGATGTGGGATTAAAAAACCCACCTTTTTATTGTCTGTGAAGTGAAGCGAAAGCTTCGCGCCATTGACGCCACTGGCCCGCTGTGAAAATACACGACCGTGATGACGAGAATTACGGCAAGGAAAGGATTTCATACTTGTGCGAATGAGAAGAACCTGCCACTGATAAAGCCTGCGATGTAACTATGAGGAAAAATGTTTCTTGCAATTCTTTCATCGTGTCATGTGACAACCTTAGCAGCAAAGCTCCATGCCCATTTGTGACTTTGTTGCTTCTGTGACAGCTCAAACTACAAAACAACAAAAACATCAGAGTGAGAGAGAGCCTTTTGTGACAAAGTCGCCGTTTATTTAGCGAGACACAGCTATGAGCGACTGACTCAAGTTTAACATCGGTGGCTTTTTTTTTTTTTTTTTTTTAATATCGGCTTCACCATTCGCCCCGTTAAACTGCATCATCTTTTCACACACATCTTCTGCTAACTACTGCAACGCATATTCCGTTTACACCATACATATACTGTACATGATCTGTTATCAGTGTGTCAGGGGCGAAAGAATACTAAGACGAAACCCCGGCCCTTATTTTGCGGATCGGATAAATGGTGCCATTAAGTGATCGATCGCAACCGATTTTGCGCAAAACGCAATGCCCATCCAATCCAGCCGATTGGATCTGTGCGAAGTCTACTCAAAAGCTGTGCTGATCTGAAATCCGAAGCAACGCACTGCTGCCATCCGCGGGGACCTGTTTTACACGACAGTGGTTTACAAAGCTGACACGCTGACCTTCTTCTATGCCTTCCGAGTAAAAAACATCTCCACCAATAGATACGGCGAGCGGTTTGATTCCAGTTAACAAATGGAAATTTGAGCTCTTTTTCGGATTATTTACTGTGTAAAAACGATAATATAGCGCCAGTATGGCTGTTTTGCAGGATCTGTGTCCGATGAAAGAAGCTGTCGTATGTGGAGTATTTTGACCAAATATTTGACTCCCTCCTCCGCATCTCACTCTATGAACGCCTCCCGTGTTTTTGTGGACGTTACGCGCCATCTGTTGTGCAAACCGAGCGACAGCTGTTTACCAGCGCGACGCCGCCAAGGCCAAAGGCGGCGACCGATCGGCGCGCACCTGCCATCGCGAGCGCTCAAAACAAACGCGCGGCGGAGATGAAATGACGAGTGTCAGTTATTTGCGGACGCTTAACGCATTTGTTTGTGGACCAGCAGATGCCGGCATGACATCTCAATGACTATTCGCCAAGAAAAGTCCTCAACACACGGGCTTCAACACGAGATTGATGATGGCCTCCACCAAGGCTTCAAGCTACAGCTGGATGCCATTTTTTGGTTTTATCAATGGAGCGTAACGGCCAATCTGTGATTAGAATCACTGGTGAACTTGGCCGCGTCTGCGTCTCAGCACCTGAAATGCACTCAGAGTAATCGCCTCTTCATGTGAGACGCTCTCTGCTGAATGACTAGAGGATCACTCTGCGGGGGCGATACGGGACAGAATATGAGCCAATGGAAGAGGATGAGACATTACGGGACAAAACATCACGAGACACTATGGGACAAAATGGTACGACGGACACCGGCGTAGGACATTATGGGGCATAACAAGGCGGCTTTTCAAGTTTTGTCACTTGCTTGGGACACGAACAATTCTATTTGGTCGAGAGTAAATTTCGATTTACTTTCACATGCTTGCATTTAGTTCCACCACCAAGGATAAAAATGGTCTCTTGCCCTCCCGCTGCAATCTGGATTTTGGCCTGTTTTACTGCCACTTCTCTGTTCCCCCATCCTGCTGCTTCGAGAGAGCAAGTGGCACTGTTTTTTTTCTGCTTTATGGTACTTTGTGGGACACAAAAGGGGACAGAATGGAGCACAATAGACAAGAGAGGCCATTATGGGACGCTGTAGCACATCATGGGACTTCACATGACAAATTGGGACAAGGGAAGAAAATAACAATAGGTTGAAATTTTGCAAAAATGCCTGGATAGATCAGAAATGCTTTAAAGCAAACATGGTGCATCAGCGTTTATCTGATACGCTGCAGGCAAATGGAATGAGCAGCCAACAGAACTAAAGTGAGGTCCTAGACTGAATGTTTTTAAATCCAGGTAACAATGATGCCCCCCCCCCCTCCCCACACACCTTCCTAGGATTGAGTATGAAATGCGCTGTGTGAATAAAACTGGCTCGTCTTGCCTTCTGTTTACATTGAGCATAGACAGCTGGGATCGGCGCCGGCTCACCCCCGTGAGGAGAACGCAATCAGATAATGGATGGATGTTTTTTTTCTCTTATTTTCCAAGACTCAAAATGAGAAAAAGGGAGGAATATAGAAAGGAAGAGGAGGACGAGGACGGATGCTGATCTTGGAATGGAGTCAACTTGCAGCTTCCACACACATGCACAGGCTGTTGGCCGGCATCCATGCTGTGAGCTTCAAAACGCCATGACCTCGGCCACTGAGATAATTGCAGAGCAACACACACGGCCACACGGCCACACGTGCGCACACACTTCCACCCGGGCCAGCGTGCGAGCTCTGTGTTCATTAACAGAAAAAGTGGCCACGGTGAGCCCAGGATGACTTTTCATCTACAGGAGGGAGTGTGAGCTGCTTTCATTTGGCTGTTGGGGGCCCGTCCATGTCAACTTTTTCCTGTCACAGTGACAAAATTAAAAATAACGAGACTCATCTAATCGTGAATTCCAACAAAAGACAAAAAGTATCGCTCATAATCCGGACAAGCTTCAGCACAGCAAAAGATAAATCTGAACAATTATTTCCCAATGATGCAGTACAGCAGCTAACAAACACAGTAAGGATGAATAATAATCTGAAGAATGATTTAGCAGCCAAGCCTGTCAAATCCCCACTTGACGAGATCCTTTAATGCGGTTCTTTCCCGTCCCCTGCCGAGCTCATGTTAATGAACTTCATTGAACGGGACAATCGATAACGCTTAATCGTTGTCATTTGACAAATTAGTTGGCTACCAGTGTGCGCGAGCGTGCGTGTGTGTGTGATGTCATTAACTCGCAGTGAGTCAATTCTTATAGTCCATCTTAAGTTGAGCTTTTTTCGCGGTTGTTTTCTGTTTCTATTTTTTTTCCCCCCCCCCCCCCCCCCAAAAAAAAACCCGAACAGTGGTGTGGGGACTTTTTATATTCACTCTAGCTTAAACTATTTGTTCTTCATAACTGTTAAGATGTATTATTCTCGTTATTGGGCCCAAACCGTGCGACAAATCGATGACTATGGAGGATGAAGTTCCAATGAAAATTATTCAACATGTTACAAAACAAACTTTACATCTAAATTGAATGAAAGTAAATGTGCATTTAAATAAAAAAGAAAACGACATAAAATTGATGAAAAATGAACAAAAATAAGAATACAAATAAAATATAGACATAGAATGAACTAAAATGTGAATATAAATTACGTTAAATACAACAAAATCAAATCACAATTACGAATAAAAATACTGAAAATAAAGAATAATGATAAAAAAAATGTTCTCCATTTGGCGCTCACACCCGTACCGACCAAAATACGTACATAGAAACAAAACATATTTATTTATTGAATAAATACGCCCGGCAAAAAGAAGAACTCTTGATATTAAAATGTCAGGAAAACCCTACTCGAACATCCGAACTTTATTTCTGGTTATTTAGAGGCACTTGAAACGGTGGCGCGACTGTGCTGACTCCCATTTAACAAATTTTAAAATGATGAAAATACATCACAAAAAGCTGGCATTTGAACAGGGGTGTGTAGACTTTTTATAGATGCTCTAACTATGGTTGTCATGGTAACATCATAGTAAGCTCTTAGTTGTTGAGGCATTTCCACAGGGGAAAAAAAAACAAAAACACTTTGTCTGCTTACACGCTTGTAACAACAACCTGCAGCCAAACAGGAAGTGCGTGCGCACACA